TGTTGTAAAGGGGTAAGGAAGGTCCTACTGGACAGGACAGAACTACAGAGCTGTTTAAGGTGAGATGTTCTTGGGAATGAAGTTGAAACACAAACAAGTGCAATGCTGAGTCCTACAGTATACAGTCTGAACTATAGCTTATCTGTTTAGTCATAGTGAGATTAGATGCAGGCCATGCACCCTGTGTTGACCCAGATCCAAAAGTAAGAGCTCAGTCTTGACGCTGACCCTGACATGGAAGAACTGGGTTTTTGAGGTGGATTTAAATGCTTGTATGTAAGCTAAGGGTGTAACGGCACTGATATGACATAACCCAATTTCTGTATCTACTCTCAACAAGTTTACAGTTCACAGTAGGGGAGCGTATTGGCAAGAATTTGGCAATACAATATGTATCACGGTACATAAGATATGCTGCAATATACTGGGATACTATAGGTAAGACAATATTGAGTTGTTTTATTTTGTTACGTGCGTAACATCAGTTTAACTGAATATTTGCATGTTAATAAAGTAAAAATAATGGTAAAAATGTGAAATCAATATAGTGATGTAGAATATCAATATGGTATCATGAAATGAAAGATGATATATCAATGTTTACCTGTACCCTTATTATACAATTATCAGTTAGCTCAGACAAAGAGATTTTTTCAGGTATTGGAACAGTACTCGTAAATTACAGTTGACAGTCCTTTAAATTGATCAAATTTAACGCAATTGACTGCATCACTTGACTATGAGTATAACAGGGACCAGAATCAAATAATGATAATCGACAGTGTCAGAGGAGCTGAGGGAGGCAGTGTCAGTAGACATACAGGAGCCATGCTGCAATAACATTTTTTTTCCAATTTGTTGACAACCTAAACATTACCATTTTGTAATTTTATTAATTACTTGATCAAATTTCTTTTGGACTGGAAATGTATCAAACGGTGATATTATATCATATACCGTTACACCCCCTATATCAGTAAATCTGTTGTGAACCTGCTGGAATTGAATAATAATTAACCCTTTACAGTAAAATAAAAGTAAAACAAAACAAAAACAACTGCAGAGAGCAGCCCAACACTCTGACAAGCTGAGAGCAGAAACAGGTTCCGATGCAGAGAGAAAAACAAAAGATCTCAAATTTCTTCATATCTACTCATCTTAAATAGCACGCATAGCGTGTCGAGTTTAACAGTATCTGTTTCATAACTACCACAGGATTGTGATAAACAATAATAGTTTAAAATGAGTACCTTTACACAATACTACTCACAAACACACACACACACACACACACACAGACCAATCGTGTTTTGTTTAGGAAGACGTTTGCATAGAGTTAAAAAAATGTTTGAACGGATTAGTTTGTCAAGATGAAGTTTCTTCATGGCACAGATCCACAGATGAATGAACAGTAATACAACAACTCTCTCACTCACTCAAACACACATTTACACACACACACACACACGCACAGACACACGTAGTACAGAAATGGCAGACCCAGTTATTAAGAGGAGTCGTACAGCTCTTAAAAATTATCATATTTACACGTGTTCATCTTTTAAATATAGATATAAAATCATCTTAGACAATAGTTCACCGGGTTACAGTAAGAATGAGCACCATGACCGTGATGGCAAAATACTAGCGAGGTGACTCGCTGCAAAAAGCTGGAGGTGAGCTGGACTGTGCCAGGCCAAGTCAGCTGTCCATCTTTGGCTGTTGTACCTCTGTCCCCTACCTGTGAAGAAAAAACACAGGCCATCAAGATTAGCTACATGGGAAGAATCAACCAAATGCACCATTTTGTCCTGAATATGAGAGGAAAATGTTAATTTAAGCCCGAAGGGGGGCCCGACTTACTTTTTGAGACATGCTGATTTATACTGAGTTTCCTAAGGAAAACACATTGACTACTGACTATTAACAACTTTATTGTGATTTAAATGTTTACAGAGAAAAAGCTCAACATGGAACCTGCTGCTGAGTGTGCATGGCTTTCTGGATGCACAGCTGTTCTGCTTGGACTATTATAGTACTTTAATATGTTGAAGCCCGGATTGGCGTCACCGGGGCCCCACTCTGGAGCCAGGCCCGGGGGTGGGGCTCGCAGGCGAGGGCCTGGGGGGCGGGGCT